CGTCACGGAAGAGGGGTGGGGGCGACGTGGGGGAGTGGGTTATTTAGCGAGCGGAGTAATCGATGTTTGCCTCCGCGCTCCGCTCCGTCGGAACTCGACGCCTGTGAATGATAATTTCGGAGCGGCAATTTACAGGCGAGCGAGAAGGAGCCGACAATAACATACCTCATTACCTACCTACCGCGCTGTTAATTAAGCTAATTGGTGCCATCAAGCGAGTATGCCGGCGGGAGGAGGGTGAGTGGAGGCTCTGGTCAGAGCACCACGGCGGCTAGGAGATGTTGACTACCTCGCCTGGTGTACAGGAGGTCGTGGGTTCGATTCCGACCCTGACTCCTGCTGCTGTATATTTGGAGTTTGCGTCTCTCTCTCATCATCACGGTGGCTCGGAGATGTTGACTACCTCGCCTGGTATACAGGAGGTCGTGGGTTCGATCCCGACCCTGACTCCTGCTGCTGTATATTTGGAGTTTGCGTCTCTCTCTCTCATCATCACGGTGGCTAGGAGATGTTAACTACCTCACCTGGTATACAGGAGGTCGTGGGTTCGATCCCGACCCTGACTCCTGCTGCTGTATATTTGGAGTTTGCGTCTCTCTCTCATCATTACGGTGGCTAGGAGATGTTGACTACCTCGCCTGGTATACAGGAGGTCGTGGGTTCGACCCCGACCTTGACGCCTGCTGCTGTATATTTGGAGTTTGCGTCTCTCTCTCAAATGACACCACAACCACATGACTTTTCTTTTGTATTGTGCGCGGTGCTTTTAGCACCACAGCGCGTCGATTTGTAGCGTTAATTTTCATTTGTTTGCTAGTGACTCTGTATTTCATATTTAAATAACCTCCAGTGCTTTTGCTGCTGGCGGCAATAGAAGTTGTTTAAAAGTCAAGTCTCATCATCACGGTGGCTAGGAGATGTTAACTACCTCGCCTGGTATACAGGAGGTTGTGGGTTCGATCCTGACTGACGCCTACTGTATATTTGGAGTTTGTGTGTCTCTCTCTCCTCGTGGTCGCGTGGATTTTTCTCCGGGTCCTCCAGTGATTTTCCTCCACATGTAGAATCAACATCACGCGTCTCGAGTATTTGGCTTTGATAAATGACCACGTGATGACGATAAGCCACTTGGTTGAGCTATAATTTGTGAAAGTCAGGTCCCTCTTGTTGTATAGCTCGGTCGGGCCATACCTGGTAAAGTAAAAAAAATGTTTAAATAGGTAAATTATGGCCAGCGTAGTAACGGCAAGTAGTTACTGTGTCAGAGGCCGGTCTTGAAACTTCGCAACGGCCCAGCGCGTGTGCGTGTCTGTGTATTTTTAAAGAGGGCCCCTTTAACTCGTGAAAATTATTATTATTTTAAATCAAAGTGCACCCAAAAAATGCGTTGCGAGCCCACGTCCTGACTCACCCAACGCGGATTGGGTGCTGGGTGGAGATCGACCATGCAACGCCCCCACCCACCCCCACCCACCCCCACCCCTTGGGTTGGAATGAATGGATGCAGTCGGTATGCCAATTATTTGGTGCAGCAATTGGCCGAGCGAAAATTGTACGAACGAGACGGAAAGTAACAAAGAAATAATACACACGAGACGCAAACATAACAAGAAAATCCCCCCCCCCAAATTGAATGGTGACCTCCCCCCCCCTCCTCCTCCCTCCCCCCGAGATTCCGTAACATGGACCTTGGCATCACGATCCCGCACAGAGCCTTGGGTGGCAGCCCCCTGACCAGCTCAAATAGGGGGCCCAGAATTGAAACATTGTCACGAAAAAACTGCCAGCAGCAAGGGGCAAACCGAGACGACCCATGTGTGTATATATATAACTGGTTTCATCGTTGTTAGAACTCATCAGCGTGGCATAGCCACCGTTGCCTTGCTGCTGTTCTGGCTGGCGCATCTCTCCGCAGTATCCGCGATGTGCACCTCGACCCTAAACTAAACTAACAACGTTCTTTAAAATTTATGTTACCCAGGTAAGGCTCCACTGAGCTGTATGGATATTTTTCAGCCAGCCACCAGGCCTATCGCAAATGATAGCTCGACCAAGTGGCTCATCGCGTGTGAATGAAGAGCGGTAGCCAAATACGCTGATCGCGTGATGTTAAATGTGCGGGCAAAATACGGGAGACGCGGAGAAAAATCCACGCGACCACAGGGAGAGAGAGAGAGAGAACACGCAAACTGGGAATATACAGCAGCAGGCGTCACGGATCAAACCCACTACCTCATGTATAGCAGGCGAGGTGGTTAACATCTCACAGCCAGCCACCTTAGCACCCTCTCGCCACCATGACCCGGTCATTGCATCAGCCGGGCGGCGGTGGTTGTGGTGGTGGTTGTGGTGGTGGTAGTGGTTGTGGTGGTTGTGGTGGTTGTGGTGGTGGTGGTGTCGGTGGTTGTGGTTGTGGTGGTAGTGGTGGTAGTGGTTGTGGTGGTGGTAGTGGTTGTGGTGGTTGTGGTGGTGGTGGTGTCGGTGGTTGTGGTGGTGGTGGCTACGCCGCTGCACGTGGCTGCCTGCAATCCGGCAGCAATGTGGAGGCAGGCAGCGCGGGTGGGTGGATCACACGCAGATGGGGTTGTTGTGAAGCTCCCTTGCCGTGCCCCGGCTCGCCAGGAGTAGGCGGCACAGCAGAGTGCGGATTCCACCGGTTCCCTCTGTACGGGATGGAGTGTTTCCCCCTCGCACGCGGACGTTGTCTCCGGATGCTTTGGGTTCCTCCCATACGTATGAACGCTCATTAATTGGCCGAAAACACCTTTATGCATAGAGGACAGCAAAGCTTGGGCAATTGTTGGTAGCGCCGGTTCCTCGCGGCATTGTGGCTGCTGCTGCCGCCCCGCTCCTCGTCTGTGGTTCCTCCTCCTCCTACTGGCGTCTCTGAGTCGTCCTCTCTCTCTAAGTCGTCCTTTCTCTCTCTAAGTCGTCGTGCTCTCTGAGTCGTCCTCTCTCCCTAAGTCGTCCCCTTTCTCTAAGTCGTCCTCTCTCTTTCTCCTTAAGTCGTCCTCTTTCTCTCTCTAAGTCGCCCTCTCTCTCTCCTTAAGTCGTCCTCTCTCTCTCTAAGTCGTCCCCTCCCTCTCTCTTTCCCGGAACGAGTGTACACAGTACGGCAGTGCAACACTAGAAGTCGACACTCTAATTGTTCACAATTCTCGTTGTGATGTCCTGTCAGCTGCTGGGTGAGCGCGTGTGCTGTTATCGCGTCTCGCGCTGTAAGGGGTCCACACCCCCTCGCTCTGTGAGACTTCACCGTGAATCTTTTCCAGTCACACACCCTTCGTACCATGTTACGGTTGGCTGCGTACGGTGCGAAAGAAGTTCAACATACAGTTCATACTACGCGCGGCCTGGGTCATTTATTAATTCAGTAATTGGGGAGGGGGGGGTCAGGGTGAATGTGGTGGTCAGGGGTAGATTAATTGGGGGGGGGGGAGATGAGTGGAGTTGGGGGGCAGGGGAGATGGAGGGGAGGAGAACGGGAGGAGGAGGAAGGAGGGGGGGTGGGGGAGAAGGAGAGGGGGGAGGGGGTGGAGAGGGGGGCGGGGAGAGGAGGGGGATGGGGGCTCCCCTTGTAGCCGTGGCACTGCGCTATTTTTATCCCGCGCACCTATTGATTGTCACGCTGCCGCGTGATTGATCCACGGCCATTAAACGAAGAGCACGCTCCCTAATTAAAAGAAGCCCGTTGCGTTCACTGGGGCCCGTCTGTGAATTATCATTATCAATGTTGATGTTGAAGTAGGCGAGTGATTCAAGGCGACGAGACGGAAGGACGCAGCTGACTCGGGAACACCGCGGAAAGATTTGCGCGAAGCTTAAAAAAAAATGATACAAATTCGTTATAAGGCCTTTTTTTTATTTTTTTACACATTGTCAACGGAGAAAATGTTGGACGCAACAAAATGTAATGAGAACAGATACAGGATAGAAAGTAAGCAAATTAATAAGAATATGAATAATTATCATAAATAATTATTAGAATATTATAAAAATGATAATTACAAAGCAAATGTAGGAACAAAAAATAGCAGGATACAAAGTAAACGAATCAATATTATTATTAAGAATTAGTTTGTATTCATAATTATTTTAATTTGAAGGTGTAACTCTGTATCGACGCTACTGCAGTGATCGCCCCCTCGTACAGAGCGATACGGGACGACTCGGAGGGAGAGAGAGAGGGAGTGGATGACTTCGAGAGCGATGGGGACCACAGAGAGAGAGAGAGAGAAGGGACGACTCAGAGAGGGGGACGACTCAGAGAGGGGGACGACTCAGCGTTGCCAGGAGTAGGAACCCCAAACGAGTGGGAAGGCAGCTACATCAGCCAGGCAGCGATGACACCACGATCTGCAGTCCTCTATATATGAAGGTGTTTTGACTTAAAACTTTCGTGACTGCAGGCATTCATATCTATGTACGTGACTTTATCGAAAGAACCATAGAACATGGAGGTGTGATTGGCCAATGAATACGATGACAATGCACCTGCTTCCCATATTTGTGTCTCCACAGGAAATGACGTTTTTCTTTTACATTGCATTAGCCAAATGGCTTTCTGGGAGTGGGTTTATTTTCCAGCAGCATTTGTATTAAACATTCAAAGTCTCATCAGCAAAGTGAGACTTATCTAACGATGAACCACTGGTTCAACACGGTTTCAACGTTCACAGTCTCATCAGTATAAGTCAGGTTAGCCACTGGTCCAACACCGTTTCAACATTCACAGTCTCATCAGCGGAGTCAGCTTAGCCACTGGTTCAACACGGCTTCAACATTTACAGTCTCATCATTATAAGTCAGGTTAGCCACTGATTCAATGCGGTTTCAACGTTCACAGTCTCATCAGCAGAATCAGGCTAGCCACTGGTCCAACACGGCTTCAACATTCACAGCCTCATCAGCCGAGTCGAGGCTGACCCTAACCTTCGCGGGTGCCCATCCTCCCCTGACCCACCAACCCCCCTCCCCCACCCCCCTTTCCCCGCGCGCAGCTCTTCATGGTGGACAACGGCGCGGACGACTGGCGCATCGCCATGACGTGGGAGCGCATCTTCTTCATCGCCCTCGAGCTGTCGATCTGCGCGGTGCACCCCGTGCCGGGCCACTACACGTTCACGTGGCGCGCCCGGCTCGCCTTCACGCACGACGCCTCGCAGGTGGAGGCCGACGTCGACATCGTCCTCTCCATCCCCATGTTCCTGCGCCTCTACCTGATCGCGCGCGTCATGCTGCTGCACAGCAAGCTGTTCACGGACGCGTCGTCGCGAAGCATCGGCGCCCTCAACAAGATCAACTTCAACACGCGCTTCGTCATGAAGACGCTCATGACCATCTGCCCCGGCACCGTGCTGCTCGTCTTCAGCATCTCGCTGTGGATCATCGCCGCGTGGACGGTGCGCGCGTGCGAGAGGTGAGGCCGTGGTCACGGGGGGGGGGGGGGGGGCGCGGGGGGGTGAGTGCGAGAGGTGAGGCCGTGGTCACGGGGGGGGGGGGCGCGGGGGGGGGGGGTGAGCGCGAGAGGTGGACGCGAGTTGGGGCGGGGGGGGGGTGTGCGGGCTGGGTGAGTGAGTGAGTGAGGGGCGTGGGGGTGAGTGAGGGGTGAGTGAGGGGTGAGTGAGGGGTGAGTGAGGGGTGAGTGAGTGAATGAGTGAGGGGTGAGTGAGTGAGGGGTGAGTGAGTGAGGGGTGAGTGAGTGAGTGAGTGAGTTGGGTGAGTGAGGCTGTGGTCTGGAGTGAGTGAGTGAGGGGTGAGTGAGTGAGCTAGTGAGTGAGAGAGGGGTGAGTGAGTGAGCCAGTGAGCGAGTGAGGGGTGAGTGAGTGAGAGAGTTGGGTGAGTGAGTGAGTTGGGTGAGTGAGGCTGTGGCCCGGAGTGAGTGAGAGAGAGGGGTAAGAGAGGCTATGGTCGGGGTGAGCGTGCTGTTGGTATGTATGTTGAACTTCTCTTGCACCATACTTAGCCAGCCGTGCTAATCGGAGGAGCGGGTAGTGGCGGGTTTAACGACACATTTATAGTCACGCAATCTAACCTGGATGGGACCCCCTTGCCTCGTCATTTTCTCGTCCACACCCCCAACCCACCTCTTCTTCGTAACCCGGAGCCTGGCATGAGCGTGCGGTGCAGGAGTTTTGAGACTCCAGCGAGAGATATTCCTGGGGGGAGTTGTGAATGGCACCGAGATTGCTCGTGCTGTGATCTTGGCAACTGTGACGTTTCCCAATCACGTGGTGTGGTGGGCGGGGCGGCGAGAGTGACGCGTGGCGCCTGAGCAGTCGCCCAGTCGCGCGCCGTCTTGGCCCTGTGGCACGTGTCGTGTGGCACTGGGGCACGTGGCACTGGGGCACGTGGCACTGGGGCACGTGGCACTGGGGCACGTGGCACTGGGGCACGTGGTACTGGGACACGTGACACTGGGGCACGTGACACTGGGGCACGTGACACTGGGGCACGTGACAATGTGGCACGTGGCACGATTCGAGTACGACGTTTTGCTGGTTGTAATTACCGAAATGTAAATGTTGTAGGTTTACTCTCCAACACACCGGTGCGCTGAACTGGTAACGAGTTGGCCACGTTGTGTTTACGTGACGGACCTTGCTAATTGGTTGTGTTGGGTGGTGGCGGGTTTAACGACGCATTTAGATCTACGCGATCTCACCCACAAACCTCTTATGGATATTAATGGGCGCGAATGCCCCGCTGCGTGTTAAACCGAGTGTTAAACCGCGTGTTAAACCGAGTGTTAAGATGTTCAAACGCCGAATAGACGCACACCCGTCATGTCAAGGCGTCACCGAGTCTGCGTTAAGCACGCATCACGATTGTCGTGAACCATGCAAGCACACGCGCTCTGTCAGTAATGTCGCGCATTGTCCTTGAAAGTGATTTGCCTGCACCAGGGGCCAGCCTCCTCTGTGGCCTCGTCTCACCGGTGTGACACCAACGAACGCCGCGTGGAACTCCCTTCCCTCTGGCATGAGGATGCCACTGAGAGACATGCACTTTTATATCATCTACATTTACAAACGTATCTCTTTAGAGCTGCTTTCTGCGTTGTAGTTTGTTGTCCTACCTCCCCCACCGCACATCCGATGAGCAACGGTTGGCTGTGCACGGTGTGAGAGAAGTTCAGCATTCATACTGTACATCGTATCATGAACAGCTGTGGTCGAGCAGTTACATTCACGGGACCGTGTTTTCCCGGCATCAAGCGTAGAGTTTCTGTATTTGTGCGTGCGTGTGCACCGCCGCCAAAGCAGCATCACCAAACAATTGATCGCATCTCGTATGTTGCATGCCACATGTTGCATGCCACATGTTGCATGCCACATGTTGCAAGCCACTGGGAGCTATGCACTTTAAAAAAAAAATCAAAATTGACAAATCGGCTCTTTGGAACTGCTCTTTGTGTTTTAGCCCGTTGTCCTCCGCCCCGTGCCCGCACCTCCGATTGGCGCGGTTGGCTACGTACGGTGCAAAAGAAGTCCCAACATATACAGTATGGACATCGCTAGCTAGCTAGTCACCCGAGTCGCGTGTCAAACGCCACTGTTGGCTTATTGACCTGCCACTTGTTGTTGCACACCCGTGGCTCAACGCCGCGGCAACGGGTTGGTAAGAGCCGGCAAAGGATGCGACGGGGAGAAGGGAGAGGAGGGGCCAGCAATGGGGAATACGAGAAAGAGGACGGAAAAGTACCGGAGCGACGTGGATGGGGAGTGAAGGAAGGGGTCAGGAGAGACGAGGAGAGGGGGGAGAGGCTGCGTCGGGAGCTCGACGCCGCTGATGCACGGAGCGGCGTCTGTTTTCACAGTGGGCGGGGCTTGGAGAGGGGAGACAAAGGCGGCCGCCCGTGGTGCTGGCCACCAAACCCACCTCGTGTGCTAACAGCACTTGCCCCAACATTCTGTTAAGGCTACACGGGGGATCTTTGCCTTTGTGTGTCTTGGCCACCCACCCCCTCCTGTGCCGTGCCGGCCTTCGTAGGCGCTTCCCGCTAACAGCACCTGCCCCAACACTCTGTTAAGGCTACACGGGGGATCTTTGTCTTTGTGTGTGTGTTGGCCACCAAACCCACCTCGTGTGCCGTGCCGGCCGTCGTAGGTGCTACCCGCTAACAGCACTTGCCCCAACACTCTGTTAAGGCTACACGGGGGATCTTTGTCTTTGTGTGTGTTGGCCACCAAACCCACCTCGTGTGCTGTGCCGGCCTTCGTAGGTGCTACCCGCTAACAGCACTTGCCCCAACAGTCTGTTGAGACTATTCGGAGGGTCTTTGTCTTTGTAGTTTGCGTGGTGTGCTCTCTGGCCTGCAGAGTAGCGTCTGGTGGGCACGCAGAGGTCACGAGATCTCGCGGGAGGCTCGAGCTGAGTTAGCGGCACTCTGAATCGTGAATTATTCCTGCACGCAGCACAAAATGTTGGGTCACGGTTGTGGTGGTGGCGGGTGAACTGAACGCGAGTCCCCTGCCAGGGCGAACAGCAGTCGCTCGCTCCCGTTTGAACCCTGAACCGGTCGGTCCCTCGGGGGGAGGGAGAGGGGGGGGGGGTTGCCCGTTTCACGCCGACCATCGTGGGGAAGTATGTTCAAACAACCCTCCCCCTCCATTTGACCGGGCCGGCACAGGGGAGGTCTGCATCCAGCAGTGGATTGTGAAACGGGGGCAGGGTGTGGGGGGGGGGGCGCTGTGAGATGACACGGTATAGGCGGTTGGTTGGTTGGGCTTGGATGCATCAAGTCGTGTGATTGCGTTGGGGAGACAGACAGGGTCGCAATCATCGCCGCGACCACCACCACCACCCCACAAGGGCAGACGCCTCACCTTGCGCCGCACAGGGGACACAGCTGAGTGGGTGGGGGTGGGAGTCGGCAAGCAGTGTAACAGGAAGAGTCATTATTTTGGAATTCGGTTTAAAGTAAAAAACAACAGCCTCAAATGTTTACAGAGTCCGCAGTGCATTTGAATAGTCACGAAAGCGGCTCCTTCAAGAGCCGCGGGTTGCCAACTCCTGGGTTTAGGGTTAGTGTGGTTAGTGAGCTGGTTAAGGGTTAGTGTGGTTAGTGAGCTCGTTAAGGGTTAGTGTGGTTAGTGAGCTAGTTAAGGGTTAGTGTGGTTAGTGAGCTAGTTAAGGGTTAGTGTGGTTAGTGAGCTGGTTAAGGGTTAGTGTGGTTAGCGAGCTGGTTAAGGGTTAGTGTGGTTACTGAGCTGGTTAAGGGTTAGTGTGGTTAGTGAGCTGGTTAAGAGTTAGTGTGGTTAGTGAGCTGGTTAAGGGTTAGTGTGGTTAGCGAGCTGGTTAAGGGTTAGTGTGGTTAGTGAGCTAGTTAAGGGTTAGTGTGGTTAGCGAGCTGGTTAAGGGTTAGTGTGGTTAGTGAGCTAGTTAAGAGTTAGTGTGGTTAGTGAGCTGGTTAAGGGTTAGTGTGGTTAGCGAGCTGGTCAAGGGTTAGTGTGGTTAGCGAGCTGGTTAAGGGTTAGTGTGGTTGGTGAGCTAGTTAAGGGTTAGTGTGGTTAGTGAGCTGGTGAAGGGTTAGTGTGGTTAGCGAGCTGGTTAAGGGTTAGTGTGGTTACTGAGCTGGTTAAGGGTTAGTGTGGTTAGTGAGCTGGTTAAGAGTTAGTGTGGTTAGTGAGCTGGTTAAGGGATAGTGTGGTTAGCGAGCTGGTTAAGGGTTAGTGTGGTTAGTGAGCTAGTTAAGGGTTAGTGTGGTTAGCGAGCTGGTTAAGGGTTAGTGTGGTTAGTGAGCTAGTTAAGAGTTAGTGTGGTTAGTGAGCTGGTTAAGGGTTAGTGTGGTTAGCGAGCTGGTTAAGGGTTAGTGTGGTTAGTGAGCTGGTTAAGGGTTAGTGTGGTTAGTGAGCTAGTTAAGGGTTAGTGTGGTTAGTGAGCTGGTTAAGGGTTAGTGTGGTTAGTGAGCTAGTTAAGGGTTAGTCTGGTTAGTGAGCTAGTTAAGGGTTAGGGTGGTTAGAGAGCTGGTTAAGGGTTAGTGCGGTTAGTGAGCTAGTTAAGGGTTAGTGTGGTTAGTGAGCTGGTGAAGGGTTAGTGTGGTTAGTGAGCTGGTTAAGGGTTAGTGTGGTTAGTGAGCTAGTTAAGGGTTAGTGTGGTTAGTGAGCTGGTTAAGGGTTAGTGTGGTTAGTGAGCTGGTTAAGGGTTAGTGTGGTTAGTGAGCTAGTTAAGGGTTAGTGTGGTTCGTGAGCTGGTGAAGGGTTAGTGTGGTTAGTGAGCTGGTTAAGGGTTAGTGTGGTTAGTGAGCTGGTTAAGGATTAGTGTGGTTAGTGAGCTAGTTAAGAGTTAGTGTGGTTAGTGAGCTGGTTAAGGGTTAGTGTGGTTAGCGAGCTGGTCAAGGGTTAGTGTGGTTAGCGAGCTGGTTAAGGGTTAGTGTGGTTGGTGAGCTAGTTAAGGGTTAGTGTGGTTAGTGAGCTGGTTA